GGATGTGCCGGAGGGATTACCTCAAGATTTTGGGGGGGAAGCACAGTTTTAGGGATGCGGAGCCATGGTTTTTGGGGGTGGGGAGGGGGGAGGGGGGGTTAGGGTGGAATAGGGGGGTATTGCAGGAAGTTAAGGGTTTCATGACTTCTTGGCAAAGGGATAAAAAGGGGGTTGGCGGAAAAAAAGTGTTAAAAGGAAAAAAGCCCAGAAACAGCAGGGAAAGGGAAAAAAAAACAAAGGGGGGGGGGGGGGGGCAGCAGAGGGAGGAGAGGGGGGGGGAAAAAACAAAAGGAGAACGGGGGGACGGAGGGAGGAAAAATGTGCTTGTTTGAACACATTTTTGATTAACCCCCCCCCCCCCCCCAACATATCTCGAATCGCAAACGACTGCTCGTGGAATGCACACACGTCCAAGGTAGCGGAAAAGGGCAAAGCACGAGCAGGGAAGCTGCACCCAATACTCGCAAACCGGCACCTCGATACACGCATCAAATTGACGGTTTTGAAGAGCGTAATCGTACCGCCGCTAGAGTACGCCGGAGAAGTATGGGAAGGAAATAAGAAGGTAGTGAAAGAACTCGAGGCGGCGCAGATGAAAGCAGCGAAAATCATCCTAGGATGCTCCAAGCGCACAAGTAATGCAGCCGTCAGGGCAGACTTGGGGATCCAATCCCTACGGTCGGGAAGAGACGCAAGGAAGCTGACATGGCAGTATCGCATGTGCGGGATGGGAGAGGAGAGGTTGCCGAGAATAGTTTGGGAGGCGAAGTGGGCAAACAAAAAGAGGGGTAGACAGCCCACGGAATGGGTCAAGGTTGTAGAGGACGTATGGAAGGGGTTAGACATCGACGAAGATGAAACGCTGGAAACGGAGGGTCTAAGGGGTTCAACGAGAAGATATCTGTTGCTTGTGGCGAGAGAGAAGAACATAATCTAAGGAAAGAAACCGAGGATAAGGAGGGTCTAGACATGTACGGAATGTTGAAAGAAGGAATAGGGTTCAAGGACTACCTACATGGGCCAATGTATGCAGGGACAAAGCTGGAGGTCAAATTCAGGACCGGGGACATAGGCCTTCGAGAACTTCGACGAAGACATAGGACGGTAGACGACGAAGACGACAAGTTCAAATGTGATTGCGGCTTCGAATGCGAAGACCGTGTTCATGTATTCGCGGAATGTCCGTGGTACGAAGAGGAGATGGAAGTGTACATGACTGAGCTGGGAAAAATACAAGGGACGTACAGGGAGATGTTAGAGGCATGGGATAGAGAGGAGAGGACGGTAGCTGTACTGGGGAGTAGGAAGTGGTTTGAAAAGGCGGGAAGGGACATCGTTAGGATAGACAGACTAGGGAAGACATTTTTGAGTCACTTTTGGCAAAGTAAGAAGGAACGATTGGCCATCGGTGATCGGTCCTGTGGGAACAATGCTCCGTCCTCTCGAGGACGCGTGGTCAATGGTCTAACCGCTAAGGCATGCAAAACATAAGAGTACGCCCCCCCCCCCCCCTCACCGCCCCCCCGGGAAGCATTTGCCATCCGGGTTGGGTTTTCCTACCTTGGCAACCACCTTGTCAAACAAGCCCATCACTTCCTGAGCTCGGCAACAAGGCTACCGCTTTTTTTTGCCTCGTTTTTTTTGTTTTTGCGGTAACCAAAATGGTGGTCGAGTAGATCATGTTGTGGGGGGTCGAGAACCCTCACTCCGCGCAAAGGAGATGATCGCACCACGTTGTGTTAAATTGGTCGAGCACCCTCGAGGCAGTTACACAGTGCTTTCAACTGTCTCTGGAAGTAAAAGCTCCAGAAAAGACATCAACTCATACGCAGCTGTCATCCGTACGCAAAGAAGTAAGCACAAGATGCTGAACATTCTCCGCAGGATGCAGCGCACCCTTCATGCGACTCGCCGAATACCTCGCGGCGCTTCGCGCTTGGTGATGTGAGAGCCTGGCCTGGTCCGGTGAGAACCCGGCGTGCTCCGTCCCGGCTTTGTAGGGATGCGAGGTCAATGGTCTAACGACTACGGCATGCACGGCTATGAGTACACCCCCCCCCCTCCCCTCATCACTGCACCATTACACCAACCCCCCACAAGCGATGACGTGTGTTTGCTGTCTTTGGCCCTATTTGTGGTTCTGGCTTGTGTCTTTCTAATCCTTTTTTTCTTTTGGGTTCCTTTCCAGATGGCCTTCTCTCTTTTTCTGTCAAGTACCAAGATAGAACTGGCCCGTGATGTTGGCTTCCAGTCTCTGTTTACCTCGGATAGCGTGCAGAAGGCGAGCGGGGGGTTCTACACTGTCTGTCGTTGATTCCCCTCCGTCCCAGGGGGGAAAAAACAGGCTCTAATTTATCGGCCTATTCCGCTGCGTGTTGCAGGGGCCCCAAGTTTGATTTCCGGGAATCCTAAATAAAACCCACCTTTGGGACCAGAATGAGATCAATAGGTCACCGATTTACAACCTGTTGGCTTCTAAGGAGGAAGAATAATAGCGCACTCTTCATCACACCGGTTTGGTCGTGCTTCGGCGAGAGATGGCCGTTCTTCACAGGCGTTTGTGCCCAAAATTCGTAGGAGATTCCTCACCCTGTCCCCTGGTGTTCAGGAAGAAAGGCGGGATTACTAAAGCGGAGATCTCAAGCGCGCGCGATTCAAACCCCAGGAGAAGAAACATTACCGCTGATAGTCTCGCACATCCACAGAATCACACCCACCCGCCGTGATCCAATTCCTTCCATAGGTAAAAGCACAGCAGTTAACAGCAGACCTGGTGACCGCTCTCTGTCTAAACAACAGGGAGAGTTTTGGCGGTTTTATTTTATCGTCGGAAAATCGATGGGTGAAAGCGGGATAGATTGAGGTCATGCCCACAGCAGCAACGACAGCAACGGAGAGCGAAGTTGAGGCGGTTGGTGCTATTGACGCAATCGCCATGTGGGACTCAGAATGACATAGGGATGCCGTCTTTCGCTGGACAACAAAAGGGCGGGGGAAAAGGAAAGCAATCAAACGACGCCGCCTCCAGCAAGCGAGACAGAGAGAGATTGAAATGTTTCAACAAACGGTCCAGGCGAGAGAACGCGTGCTGGCTCTGTTGGAACTGCTGTGCTCCTGTCACTTTCCATCTGCTTTACACACCGCTCTGCCCGAGGGTTCTATCTAGTAATGTTCTGTCTATTGTTCATCTTGCAGATCGTTTGGCGGTAATGCTGTAGCATCGCGTGTGTCACGGCGTGTGTGTGTTCCTCCGCCGTTCGTTGGTGCTGTGCCATTTCACACCAGCGGGGAGCGGATGCACAGTCTTGAAGATTCGCTCATTATATTCCGGATACGTATGTATGAAGTGCGGAGCAAGTCTCCATCACGCGCAGCATCGCAGATAGGTACAGGCTGCTGCAGGTATTGAGCCAACCCCACGGCTCATTACTCCTCCCTATCTAGTATAGCCTGTGACCACGGGAATCAACCGCGTCAAGTGTTAGACTAGTGAGGACAGAAGAAGGTACTGGAAAGAGAGATCGGCAACGGTTTTTAATGTGAAGACAACAAAACAACAATGAATGCTACTAGGCAGAACCGCACGTGGTTCCAGGACGGTAGAAGTTGGTAGGGTTCAAACTTCTCGAAACATTAGATTTTGCCCCATCCTGTACTAGAACCTACATAGTTCCCGATAGTTTCCCCACAGAGGGGATAAATAATCGAAGGGGCGAGCCTGTAATCGAAGGGGCGAGCCTGGGGAAAAGCAACAGCTTCTATTTAGTATAGTGTGAAGCGCTCTGTTTTTTTGCGGGTGTCTCCTGCACCACGTTGTTGTCGTCACCATCCCAAGAGAAGAAGCTTTGGCTAAATCAACAAACGAAAAGCAAAATGTTCCTCATGTTCTTTGGACTGATCGGTATATTCATTGCCGCCCTCGTCATGTGCTTTCGTCAGTATTTTACCGCTCTGGTTGCGTTGGTTTTGCACTTTCTACACTTTTACCGGCTGCATGTCTCCCATGGTGCGTGCGATCTTTTCGTGTCCTACTTCGTTTTATTTATTTCCGGGAGGTGGTGACGCAATGCGGGATACCTTCACTCCCCGTGGGATCGCTTACCGCCGCCGCTGCTGCTGTTTGTTTGCGTTTCGTTTTCTGTTTCGCGGTCCATCCGGACGACGGTCGCGCGCGAAAGGTGGTTCTCCACACGAAGGCCATATCCCATCTCGCCACCGCGACGGCAGGCCGGAGCGGTGTCTCGCGAGTTTTGTCGCGGATGGCCGGGTTGCGTCGCGGAATGGGGGGGTGCGGCGCCATTCTCGTAATCGGTTTCGTCCTCGCGACTACCCGAAGCTTTAGTCTCGATGCTGCCGCGATGTCCGAGGGCGTTGAGGGTCCCGCCACTTCGAACGCTATGCAGGTGAGATACTCTTGACTGTATTCTTCATCTCTGCCGTGTATCGGCTTCGGATGAGGGCCTGTCCTTGGTCCCACCCATAATACTCTCCTTGACTTATTTGTGAGTAGAGATCACTGGTCTTAGACCTGATTGACTCACCCGTACTCGTGTTCTTACAGCTGGTGGTGGTGAATTGAGCGAGAACACGACGCATCGTGGGCCTCAAAGGCCGCGGCAAAGGGCCGTCAATGGTGACCGTGTAGACCAGTGACCGTAATTTGGACGACAACGGTCTACGCATAGTACACTGCGGTCGACTTCCTTCGGCCAAACTCGCATTCTCAAATTTTTCTTCGATGGCCGCCCGACCTGGTCCGAGCCTCCTACTCGGAAGGGGTGCGTGTGCTCCGTCAGGCCGGCCGCTCGCAGGTGTGCCTGTGAAGGGCAGCGGTCGTACGAACCACCGAGAGCTTCGAAGACCATCGACCACCATCACCCCGCACTCTAGAGAACAGATATGTAGCATGTCTACGATGAACCCCAACCGATGTCCTGCGAAATCCTCGAGATCAAGGAGGAACGTATTTCGAGGATGCCGAGTACTAGGGCCAACCCGACGCCTGCGCCGGCTGTGGCGCCGGCGTGTGGGTCCTCGTCTTCCCCAAAGTCCCAAGCTAACAAGAGTGGACGAGTTTCATTCCCGCCAACTCTCCTCGAGACTCTGGAGACTTGATGCCATATTTCACCACCGACGGGGCCTTGGAGCCGGCACCCTGAACCTCGCCTACTCTCTGGTTAGGTTGGGAGTTTGGAAAGAAGAGGAGGAGGAGCCCGACGACGGCGCCGCGGCTGTCGCCGCAGTGTGCGCAGTCGTCGGGTTAGCCCTCGTCTTGGGCTTCTTGGGAGTCTGTTTTCCCCTACATACGCTTCGCCCTCGTATTTGAGATCTTCGGAATCTCTTCTTCCTAGGTAGGAAGAGCGACTCTGAAGACGCCAAATACGAGGGCTAACCAGATGAGGGGGTTTCGGGGGTAAGGAACAGACAACAGCAGCGATCGATTGCACGCAAATGTTTACACAGTTTTCGGGGCGAACGCAAACATATACATTTTAGGCCGAAAATTGGATTCTTGGTTCACCACGATTTTCACCGCGATTGTTTTCGTGTGCGATGCATATGTTTGGTTCTGTTAAAATGTTCTGTTCTTGATGCTTTTAGGAGCTGCACCGCCAGGCACGAGACGACGTGCTGGGAATTTTAGCTGCGCCCGCGGACTCGTGCCTCACGAGCAACTGGCGATTTACCTCAGCAAATCAGGGATGTACGGCTGCAGACCAGTGCGGAAAAGGTGCTTATTTGATAGGCTTGCTTGCTGACTTGCAGTTTTTTTTTGTACGGGATTTCGTCTTCATTGTACGTCCTTCTTCCTGCATCTGTGTGTTTTGCGTATCGGTGTGTCTTCAACTGGCTGTACTGGATTGCTAGACATAATTCGATCAAACCACTCCCCGGGACTAGACTGTGCAGCCAATCCACCGCTCTTGCTGCGGAGGGGTAAAGAGTGTGCATACTACTTCTCTGTGTGCAGCCTTGTGTAAGCGTGGCAGGTTTGTGTCAAGGCAGTTTGTCCGCTCACCATCCCTTCTAGACCCACTCGTTACCGATAAAAGAGGCGACAAGAACTAGATGCGTAAGAGCAGTGGGGCGGCGAGAACTATGGTGGATGCAGGGGCACCACCTCAACACTCCTGGGGTAGGCGGTAACATCTGTTGAAGGTACCGAAAGATTCGCACCCCCAACTCACCCCCCGGGCCAATTGTGCCCTGTCCTTTTCACCTGGTGATACTCTACGACATCGCATCCTGGCAGAAAGCTGTCTAACGTTGCCATGTTCTGGAGTTGTTTCTGTGGGTGGTTCGTTTGGCTCCTTCGTATTGTTACTGACTTGCAGTCGAGTCAACAATGTGGTTTCAGGGACTAAACTCAACGCTAGAAGGCCGGCCGTGCGAAGGAAGTAGCCAAGCCCATCGGTTCTATGCGTACGACCAATATGCTGACTACGCAACCCCCCTCCCCCCCCGAAATACGTACTTTGCTTCCAGGATGGTTATTCCAACAGCAAGACTTGCTGTTGGTGACACAGTGGGCAGGGAGTGACGCTAGTAGTGTTGATGACGCCACAGGTGAATGGTCTACCTCCCTGGTCAAACGAGAGCCGTGTGTATGTAGTCGAACATTAGAGTAAAGTGTACCTGCAGGCGTTTTTCGTAGCTTTGCGGACTCATCTCACAGCCGTGACGCGGGCGGAGCGCCGGTGGTGTATGTTTTGCTGCCACTGTTGTTGTCGTTGCTGTTATTGTCGACTCCACTTTCAACATGTTGGTGATGGTGCGTGTAGCAGTACAGATGCACGGAGACCCTTTTCGTACTACAATATGCCAACACCTAACCTGATCGTGTTCTTGGTCCAGACGAATGGTGCGCGAGAGAGTCGAGGACGGTGACTATGGTGGGGCTGAAGGCGCAGGGAGAGGGAGAGGAGTCCGACTGCAACAGCCAGAATCTCAGCATTCTGGTCAGGCTTCAAGGTCCAGAGGCACTAGCTGAGGTACACACGCATCGTGCCATCGCTTCATGGTCCCCCGCCCCCCTTATATTGTACTGTCTTGGACGATTCCCTCCTTGATGCCGTATGTCTACCCCGACACCGAACAAGCTACGCCGATATTTTCTTGCTTACATCATGTTCCATTCTTTTTGCGGTTTTTCGTTCTATAATCGCGTTTTGAGATGAATTTTCTACGGTCGTTTTATTTTACTCTGTGAGTTCTCGAAGTGTGTACCCATCTGGGTAGTTGGCCTGTAACCACGGAAGGCGTCCGGGTCTGGTGGACCGGTACGGAATTTGTGCAGGTAACTGCTCTAGATTGGCATTCCAAACATGCCAGAGTATCAAAAACAAGCACACCTGGCACCGTCGGTCGTATGATCTCTAACCCAGTGTATGTTCACCGTGGCTGTCAACTTTCAAAGTGGAGGGCTGGACAGTGCATTGGAGCAATGTTACGGCGGCTCCTCTGAATTGTGAACGGCGATACACTAGTGGATAGACCGCAAGCAACTTTGGTAGAATCATTCGCGAGCGAAATGAAGCTGAACATGAGCGGTCGACCGATGTTTAATGAGGCCGCCTGTTGCACCCAATCTTTGGCCGATAGCCAGGCCCAACAGCGCCATGGAGTATTGCGTTTTGATCGTGTGTCGTCCGTTCGTTTGTATGTCGTACCTTCTCTTCTTCAACGCAAGCACCATCGCCCTTAGCACTGACTGTCCAACGACACATCTTTCCCATCGTCGTCTTATCGTTTTTCGTTCCTAACTGTGTAGCCGCAAACCCGTAGTATCGTTCATCACCGTCTCCAAAACACCCTGAAAGTGAAGCACATGATAGCCGAGAAGTGCTCAATTACAACCGGCAGCAAACAGTCGACACAACACATCACATGTTTGTCTTTGTCCCACGAAAACACTGTGCCTGCTGTAGTTGGAAAGCTGCGATGTCCAACCACACATCTCATCTTTCCCACGAAAACGCTGTACCTGCTGCGGTTGGAAGGCTGCGACGCCTGTGGAGGGCAGGTGTGCTTGGACCGTGGAGTTCACACCGTCCTTGGAAGGCGTGTACACCTTCGACGCCACTGTACTCAATTGGGAAGGTGGTCTTGATCCGCACCCCGAAATGTAAGGGCGACGAGGTCATAGTGCATACCGAACCACGTTCTTCATTTTCTCTTTCGTCATGGCGGACCCCTCTCAACACACTCAGAAAATACTTGTCGACGACACCATCACATGTAAAACGGACACGCTGGCTTTTTTTGTGTCCGCCATGGTCGGTAAAGTTGTTTTTCTTGGCCTTAGGGTCGAACATGAGGAGTATCGTTTTGGCGGTGCCATTCGTATTTCAACGCTGCATTCTGTCTGTCTGTCCCCCTGTCTGGTCGTCTGTCTCTCTGTCTCTCCTACTGTCCGGTTCTCTCTCTCTCTCTCTCTCTCTCTCTCTCTCTCTCTCTTTCTCTTTCTTTCTTTCTCTCTCTCTCCCATTGCCTCGCCCTCTGAATACAATGCGTTCGCGTCGCCTACCTTTTTCTGCCTCTTTCAGGGATGGTTGATGGTGATGATGGTGATCTCTCCAATGTCAGATAACCTCCCCCATACATGAAATGACACCACTTCGCGTTATCATAGTCATGAATTTGTCACAGGATCTGCTGTGATGAGCGTTGGCTACGGTGAAATACTTCAGGAAATCAGTCGTGAAACAGGGCAAAGACGGTGTGCGACTGAACCTTAAGGGCCCCCAGAAGAGCGGTTTTGACGCTGGCTCTTTTCTCATACTTTAATCCAACACAAGAAAGCAAACAACCTTCCCGCAGGAGGTACCTGGTAATTAGTACTGTTATCAGTAGAGGACACCATGAAGAGGCGTCGTGCGTGCTGGCACGTTCAGGTTTGCTACTGGAGCTGAAATATCGAAGGTCGCAGTAACCTCTGAAAACAGTCCGAAATCTGCGCCGGAACCAAGCGGCATCCCACATTTGTCATAGCCGTGCACACCGCCACGGACCGTAAGCCCCTCAACGGAGGGTTGTCCGCAGTAGCTCGTGGCATGAGCTACTGCTGTAAACGCACAGTTCAGGAGATTGGAGTCCGTGGCGGTGTGCACGGCTGTGACAAATGTTGGATGCCGCTT